TTGTATTATGTTTGACAGACACATGTGAGTGAATTAATGTACTATTTATTTTTTACGCTAAACTTAAATGAATTCGGTTAATATATCTTACTATACGCATGTTCAATTATGATTAGAGTAATTGTGCGGTACTGCGCAAAAGAATTAAGGGAGCTACTTAAGACCCACGTTTGAATCGATTCTCCCATTTTCAATAACCGCTTGTCCTATTGTAGGATTAATCTCTGGAAGAATGTAAGAATGTGTAGTTAAGACAATGAGCCGCCAGAACGAGAGGCCAGTTAATCGTAAACATGCATTCAAACACATATGTCTTATGCATGAAGGTAGTTATTGGTCTTTACCATGCTGCTTTTATTCAGTTCAGTCCAGTTCTTGATACCTTTAAAAACCATTAAAATAAAATACAATATGTGACCCTCATGACGAGCGAAGTGAAACACAGAGATACAGGCCTATAGTTGGCTAACACTGCAGCTTTGCCTTAAAGTGAAAAACCAAAGAAAGTAATATTGTTTAATCTTAATTCGGGTTAAATAGGGGCAATAACTTTGAAATTACCTTCCTTACTACTCGTTGCTTCTTTTCGCACTTAAGACCCCTGGATTTCCAAAGTGGCTGCATTTTAAATCAGTGGTTATCGTTTTTGATATTTGGACAAGTTGTTCTCTTTGCCGATCCGACACGTGGAGCCACGCGCTCATTAGCCAAGTGCATGTTTACTATGTCACCAAAAAAAAATCAATCTTTATCATTACACTGGTTATGCAACCTGTTTTCCAATGATTCCTATCATACTACATTTTAATTGACTGGAAACAGACAGCTGTCGTTTCTCCCACAGGAAATATGACGTTTAAGCACAATAGCCTTAATGACGTAACTTTCTATGGGAACACTTGACCGATAGTTTTATAGGAAATATTCAGCGGTAGAAATTGGAAATCCTTCACACTAAAAATAAAACAATTTCAAAGGAAAATCATATATGTGCCGGGATTAAAATATCACTAAAATCATCTGTTTTATTAAATAGATACACTTAGTAAAATAAATCCATTTTATCATATAAAATGGTGTATAACGATATATAAAACATGGCGCCGTGTTGTTTAATTTATTAGATAGTACAGGATCCATTAAAACGTAAGACTTTAGTGCACAGATTGGACTATTTTAGGCTACTTCCTGCTATACTCCCGAGGAACAAGCAGTGAAAATAAATAAATAAAAAAAAATTAAAACTAATAAATATGGTACCATGACTATTTTAACAATAAAATTTAATAGCTGTACAGTTTAAAAATAGATGGTTTAATAAAGGATCAGGACAGTATAAATGCATGTTAAGGTCATACATATACAATAAAAAATAATACATAATAACATAAATCAACCAGATACATCTTAACACGTTTAAAAAGTCAACAAAATAAACATGTTCGTACATTCATTTAAATGGCCGTAATCCAAAATTACTGTTAATAAAGTGTTTAATGCGATACATAGAGGCAAAGATCAAAATGTCTTTGGCTGTGTTTATTGTTGCAACTTGTACGTTATTACTAGGCCTATGATAATTGTTACATAACTTCCAACTGTTCTTGTAAACAAGAACCGTTTAATTAACCATAAACACTATACTGCCATTATAGAAATTAAAGGATGAAGACGATAGGCTACATGTTTTGATGCTTCTTTAACATATATGCCGCTCCCATATGCTTTTACTATGTTTAACCGAGTGGGTCTATCAGTTTTCACATATCAGATGGTAGTATAACAAATGTAGCAAAAATGTAACGGAAGCATGTCGTATTAAAATAGCAGATCGGTGTCACGGTTATAAAAGCTTACTTCCAAGCTGTTCATCCAGAAATGTCAAATTCAACTTCGCAATTACTTTTATCCCAAAGTACGAAATGTAAACGGAGAAAGTCGCGCGCATACTGACGTGGGCGTCGCGCGCCTGCTACTTTCCCGAAAGGGAAGCACCTTGGATCATAAGTCTCCATCGAAAAGGTTAAAATATTTGCTGGCCGCTGGAAAACAGAGGTATGGCGTGCTATTTCCAGGGTACACAACAGGCAAAGGCATTGGTAATATGCATCGACCCAGTATGTCGTTTTCTTTGTAAAGTGGTGGAAGGACCATGGTCTTGTTGGCCACCGTGAAATGGTCAGCAGAAGGTCTCTCCATCTCCGTTGACAGTTGCCGTTTCAGCTTATTCCTGCGGTTCTGAAACCAGATTTTTACTTGCGTCTCGGTCAGTTGTAAAGAATTGGCCAGACAAGCTCGCTCCGCACTGCTGAGATACCTTTTCATGTCGAAAGTAGATTCCAACTGAAAAATCTGTCTTTTTGAAAATATTGTGCGAGTTTTCTTCTTGGCTATCGGCTTGCTTTTCTTGGTTATTCTGTGCTGCGAGTCGCCGTGGCCGCAGCCTTCGGTGAGATCCCGATCCCGCAAGTCCGCGATCCTCAGGGATCCAGCGCCGCATACGTGCTCTCCCGCAGTGTACTTGTAGCAGTCCGTATTTGTTATTTCTGAGGGGTAAAGATAAAACGGACACAATTACTATTTCTTTAATTATTATTTTAATAATCACAAACTATACATATTATCCGAAACAACAGGTCGCAAAGAATTCACGGTTCTACAGATAAACTGGAAGAAAATCGTTACCCAGCTTCTGATCCTTTGTTAACTTTTTGTGTAGCAAATTATGCACATAAAATTTAAACTGAACAAAGTACCGTACCTGACTTCTGTAAAGAGACCGTTTCGTGTCCACTTTCTATACCATGGTCTTCTTGTTCGCGGTAAATATTTTCACTCTCCCTGTCAATTTGTTGTTTACAATGAAATCCGTCAAAATTCTTGCTGTTTTGTTTTAGATTGAGAATGCTGTCAATTGTAAATTTCAGCGAAAGAGGTCGGCCTGACATGATTTCATTGCTCATATTCTCCAGAATTTGCCTCAGACCGTGAATTTTTGCTTCTGATTTTCTACCCTATTTCCAGAAAACTGTTAAATCTGGGCACTCCGAACACCATTGCTCCAAAATCACAACTACAGTAGTGGCTGTCTATAGCGGTTATTCAATGAACCGGAAGATAGTGTCTCTCCAGCAGTGGATTGGTGACCCAACAGAGCTGTCGTGACGATGGGTGACAGGAGAGGGCGTGGACTGAATGCTGCATGCTCGGACCTAGGACGGGATTCTCTTTTCTTCCCCTTGTGATTTAACCATGTTTACTCGTATATGAAGGTGGTCGCGGAATCGCTGATCATTGCCTAATATGAAACCTGAGGACTCGTCTTTTCCGAGAACACTTGAATGCTCTTGTATTTCGCACTAGTTCCGCAAGAACCTACTGCTAAACCTGTCTTTGGTTGCAATAGTTCTTCTGTTATGATCATTTTTTCGTAATGAATTGTGAAGCTGCTACTCCAGTGCTGACCGGCACTCATTACTGTTTTTTTCTGAGTGTCTCATTGACAAAAGCGTCTTCTAAATGGTTATTTATAAATATAAAATATGGACAATTTTGCATTTGATGTGCATTTGTTCTTGTACTTTAGGCAAAGTCCTCCATAGAACGTTTTCGTAGAACTGAATGCTTTTAAATACAAAAAAGTCATTTAATTTTTTTTTATTTTTACTTGCGATCCCCGAGATCCAGTACTGTTTCGTTATAGCGCGCTTCTGAAAGCGGTCGGTAAATTGTGATAACCTGAAACGAGACAACTTAATAAAACCTCAAAGTCGTTGATTTTAAGGAGTAACATTGGATGCATTGTCTTATTTGTGCTACATAGTACTTCAGTGCGCTTCGTCCGGAATACGCGCGTCCAGTTAGGCTGTTAATTACAGTTGTGTACAGCAGTCTTTGCTTCTGAAGGTAATTTATAAAGTGAGCTTAATACAGATTCAGCAAAAGTATCACAACAATCCAAATTTATTTATATAGCGCATTTTCACAGTATTACATTTTCTTACATTGTCCCTATACCCAAAGTCCCCCAGAGAGCAAGCCAGAGGCGACAGTGGCAAGGAAAAACTCCCTAGCAGGATGAAACCTTGGAAGGACCCAGACTAAAAGGCCCATCCTCTACAGGACCGGCAAAGAAAGTCCAATATAGCAAAAGTAATGGGCCAGTTCATACAGAATGACCCAGATTGTTCGCGAAGTATATATACGTGGTTTCGTTATATATGGTGATATCCTGAAATGAGACAACTCGATTAGAATTCCTTCTTGAGCGAAAATTGAAAGGATAATTGACCTTGATGGCTACCAACATGTTATCAGAAGAGCTAAAGCCAGGCCCCTTATCTAATATACAAACGCATATTTACGTTTATATAATAATGCGATGTTCAGTACTGCTCTATTTATCTTTGTATTTTCACCTATCCCTAATTCGCCTATATAAGAGTAAATTGCCAACTTAAGTGCTTGAATTTCTTTTTCGAAAAATATTTTTGCTAGTCGCATCTCTCACTGCGTAAAATAACGATATGCTTCGTTACTTCTCCTTAATAAGAATAAAATCGTTGTACTTAGATTATATAGAAAACTTTGATTTATAATAGGCCTAACGAATCGAATGTATCCATGTATTGTCAATAAATTAATATACCGTGTAAATTAATTTTACATTCGTTTAATTTGGATAGGATTTAGGCCAATTGTCAGCTTTCAAGGTTTTGGTCCAGTAAAAATATTTAAATTACATGAAAGGTAAGAAATAGGTTTGTTGGCTGCTCCACAGTGACACTGAATGAAGCGTCGCCTACAACGGCGAGTGATAATCGTGGTCCTTAGCGGACAGGTGCGAGCAAAGGAGAAAAGCCTGACGTCACAGACAAACAAACACGTACGCTCATCTGTTTTATTGATAGCTAATTAAGACTTGGTATTGTGGAACATAGGTGAATCCTTAAAAAAAGGTTTTACAAACGTTTTGTAAAATAAATTTGTAATTGTCTTCATTCAATATACAGCAAATACTTTTGGGATGTGAGACCATTGATATTTTTGCACTACCTCGAAGAGAAAATAATATCGTAGAACAAAACAAACATCCCTTAAATGATGCATTCCTATGACAAATTTAGTGTTTTACATGTAAGGAACAGACGCTAATCCCAATGAATTATTGCACGTAGGTGATTTTATAAGTACCCACTGATTTTTAAACACGCACATTTTTATACGAACCCTATCATTTGTGACCTTAAGAAAGACATAGAAGGGGTGAAAGGAGAAAAGGGAATATTCAAAGGGCGTGAAAATCCAACTAGGGAAGCGGACACAGGCGCAACGGTAAATCCTGTAGGCACCGTGCCCTCATGGTACAGAATGGGGACCCCGAACGTCCTCTGGGCAGAGTGGGAAATGCTGGCGGCCTCCATGTCCGTGGCCAGCTGCCGTTTCCACTTATTCCGTCTGTTCTGGAACCAGATCTTCACTTGCGTTTCGGTAAGGCGAAGGGACGCGGCCAGCCCCGCCCTCTCGGAGCTGCTCAGGTAGCGCTTCACGTCGAAGGTTGATTCCAGCTGGAGCACCTGACTCCGGCTGAACACGGTCCGCGTCTTCTTCTTGCGAGCCGACTTCTGATCCGGAGCGTGGTGCCCGTCTCGCTCGTAAAAGGTACGGCTGCTACTGTAAGCCGGTTCGTCGAGAGGAATTTGCCGTCTGTTTAAGTCCATTTCCTCATTACATTCCTCTACCTCAGATATAAATGGTGAATCACGATCATTGGTTGGGATTAGAGAAGCAGAGAGTTCTTCCGAACTGTTTAGATATTGATTCAGACCTATAAGGGCGCAGTGTGCAAAACAACAGTTGTAAGGAAATCACATATCAAACATCACTTTACACATATATACCTTTTACACTATACTTTTTATCGAGTGATTATTGAATAGTCTGGTAATTATAATGAATGACTACTTTTAATATTAGTAAAAACTCAATTCGACATCAACCGGACATTTAATTAGAACATAATCTATGTTTATGCAGAGTAATAATACATGCAATATGCAATTTCAATATATTAATGTTTTGCACACACTTTGAAAAATAATATTGGTCCACTAACATAATCGTAGCCTATGGGTGACAGAAGTGTTTGGGTAGCCTATTTTCCGCCAGCAGTCACAGCGACGAGGCTATTATCAGACCTGTTTAATTTTAAAGGCTTAATTCTTCTAATATTAAATATACATAACGATTATCCTAGCAGTTATATAATGACGTTTGAGTTGTATAATAGCTTTGAGATTTTACCATGTGGAGAAAAGAACTACAACTACAGAAAGATGTAGTCGCCTGCTGTGTTTATATACTTTTTCGATATTATTATTATTATTATTATTATTATTGTGCCTAATAATATCCCATGTTAATTGAATATACTGCAAAATAGTTATTTGCGGTCTCATTATGTGTTGCTGTGACTGTAATACCTTACCATTTCTCCGAGTGGTTACAATGCAATTAATCTAATGAATAGTTGGTAATCTTTCCGTATGGCACTATAGTCCAACCGGGAGATGCCCTGTTTTTGAAGCGGAGTGATGACTTACTTGGTAGATTTCCGCTAGCGCCGCCGGGCGAAGGTTCCCTTGGACATGAGCAATCACGGTCAGCACGATTCATCAGCCGTGGACAGCGTGCATGGCTGCATTGCCTGTTGGGCGCTGCTGTGCGCGGCGCCTTTTCTCTGCCGCCACCCTCCGAGTTGTGGCGTGCACGCGATCGCGAGGTTTCATCCCAGCTTGAGCGAAGCAAATTTTCAATGAGAAACGACGAGACCCTCGGTGACATTGAATTCTGAGCCTCTGCTGCTTTATCTGGCATTGCTTATGTATTTAAATCCAGGCGGCTAAGGTATACCCGTCTCTTCTTGCTTTACAATATTCGCGTGCCGTGGCACAGTGCTCTGCCTCTGTCTTGACCTCTCCGATCAATCATTGCAATTGTGTCCCGCAGTTAGCGACCTTGAACAAATAGGACATCATTGGCGAAGGGACAAGGGTGCAATCAGCGATGGCAAGGCGAAGTGCACAGCGAAAGAAACTATTCCCAAGAAAACAGTATTCTGCGATTGGTCGAACACAATAGCAAATGGGATTCCTCACAAAAATATAAGGAATTAGCTGCACTGCGTTTACCAATTTGTGTGATAGTGCGCCGTGCGGCTGCAGGGACCCCTGTCAGTCAGATACATTATTCAGGCCAATTAAAGAAAAAAATAAAAATTCAGCTAGCGGTTCCAGAGGCGAACGGAATCATTCACTTAGAAGATGATATAGGCTACTCCCATTGGCTATCCGTGACATCGCATAATGTCATGAGTAAGTGATGAACCCGACCTCGTTAGCCCAGCTAGAATATAGGCCTGAGTGCCAACCCAGTGGCTCAGAACTCGTTCTTCGACCCTTGAATATGTGATTGTGGGTATTATTGTATGTTAACGCCAAATTGTATTTTATTAAGACCATTACCATCTTATCCTCACTGACGTTATGTCGTTTATTGTTTTTTCTAATAGGCCTATAACTATTCCAATAATAGCATATTCAATAATTCATACACGTCATCTTGATTGTTATGGTATTTTCTGTAACTCGCGGTTAACAAAATAAAGTACAGTATTCTGTAGCATATTGACTTTGTTGTAAGAAAAAAAAATCCTTAACACGTATATAATACTAGCGTAGGGACTGTACATCTAACGATTAAGTATTCAATATCTAAATATCATCATCATCAACAATAACAACAACAACAAAAACAACAAGAAATACATCGTACCAGAACAGAAAAATTATATCACCGAAATTAAGAAAAAATATGTTGCCAATTTATTTGGAAGCATTCCTACAAAATATTTAACCTACGAAAAAAAACAACAACAACAAATGTACAAAAGACCTGAAATGTCAACATTGTTATCCAAAATATAAGCTTATCTAGACTATATTTCAACAAATATTTTGGAAAACAATACCACCAATTTCATTTCTATATTTTTTCATTACTACGGTTAAATAATGTTTCGCCTTCAGTAACAAAGATATCATAATTAAATATTAAAGGCACCCACAACAACCTGGGCTTTTTAAGGTCAATGTAACAACGCGTTCCGGCAGAAAATGACGTTTACATTTACATTCAGACAGACAGATAGATAGATAGATAGATATATAGATAGATAGATAGATAGATAGATAGATAGATAGAGTATGTCATGGTTTTTACGTAGGCCTACGCATCACTTACTCACTGACGCATTACGAGAAGGATAAGTTAAACACAAGTTTAACACAAGTAACTTAAACGCAAGTTTAAACTTAAATTACGAAAACTAAATTTGTCACTATAACTAGATTGTCGACCTAATGACTGTTTCATTAAAACATTTTATTTGTAAGGCTCAGCCTTCACGGTCAGGATAATCGATTAGAAAAAGCATCGAAGGATGTATGAACGGCAGAACAGGCTACATTTGTAAGGAGATTACAGGAGACAAATATAATAATAATAATAATAATAATAATAATAATAATAATAATAATAATAATAAAGAAATACTATTTAAACATTAGAATTACAGGAGTGCATTGAGTAAATTTTAATATTTAATATCTCAGTGTTGACCGAAGTCTACATCTGTCTTTATTTTTCCAAATTTCCCCACCTATCGAGGAAGAAAAATATTTCCTTTATGTAATCAGTGCCTGGATTTAAATGTTCAACCTAGATTGTTTGTTGGGCAATTTAAGAGATTTAGTCCTTATGAACCCACTTTATAAATAACTACAAGGTCGAAATAATGAATGCCCTTTGTAGGCTCATGATGACTTTTCTTGGGCATCCTTTGCTTTGTCGAATTTTGTTTGTTGACTGTCTACCATTGGAAAATATGACAGTAATCTAAGTTAATTCTTTTTCTGCACATTAAGTGACAGTTATGGTATATGTTGTTGTCTGATGTAAAGAACAATCTCCCAAATAGTATATTGGGCCATTCCTCTGACTTAATAGACATTGTTCTGTTAAATAAATCATTTTTCCGCTCAGATACTCTGTGAAATTTGACTTGACTGCCCTCTAATGGCTAACAAGCCAAAGTGCACATAATCATTGCTCATGTGAGTATTTTAACCACAAGAGTGTTTTTAAATATGCATATCCATCCCCGGCGCCAGAACCATTTTGGCAGGCCTGCTATGCGTCGTACGTACGGCGTGGGGGCACAGTTTCACCAAGAGGAATACTAGTAATACTGCTATTACAATGTTATAACAACAACTGACAGGCAATCATTGGCGAAGCAAATGACAAATTGACAGACGCATGGGCAGCACAAGCCACACGAGGTCTGTTTTTATGTTGTACATCGTAGTTTGCACAAATATGAACACGCGCGTATAATATAAGGTCAGCGGTTACTAAAGAAAAAAAACATAACGTCTAAGGATTATATATGCTTTAATTTTAAGAAAGCTAAATAAGCAATCTCAACTGAGCTGTTTGCTCCACTGACAGGTGTTAAATCGTCTATTGCCTAATGTCCATTTTTCCAGTTATTCGGATTCTTTCTCAATAGCCTACAATTTTATGCCAGACAGGCAGAATGACCCGCCCACCTCCAAGTTAACGTTAATTTATAAGTATTTGCCTGTTTTGGTTTACTGTTGAATATTAAACTACTTTTAATGTCAACACGAACTGACTTAATCTTATCTCAGTTCAGATTTCGAATTATTTATTTTTACAATGTACACAAAATTTACGTAGCCTATTTATTTGGTTTCGCCATTTTGTGGTTCCCATCTAACAGGCCAGGTGCAGTGGAGGGGAAGGGTGGGTGGGCTTGAAGTAATATCTGGGCGCAAAAGAAAGAAAAAGAAAGAAAAATTTACTGGAGTCGTATTATTGTTTCTAACGTGTTTTGCACAGCCGATGATAAAAATCATCGAAAACCACAACATCGTGAAGGCGCCCAGTGGTCTCGATGATTGCTGAGGTTTTGCTGAGGACTAGGCCAAGTCGGCGCTCCTGGCCGCAGCCGTGCAAGACCAGCATAATCGCATTTAATAAAATAATTTTTTTTTTTTAAAAACCGGGTTGCCAACTGTCACGCATCAGACGAGACGATTTCTGATTCACGCCTGAAATCTTACTGTAAATCTATATTATTCCATTATAAAACTAAAATTAGCTAGGCCTACATCAAAAGCGTTGGGGTAGTTTGTAAACCCTACAGACTATTTACAAGGTTATAAAACTATTACATCTATATGCTGACCAAAATTAGCAACCCTGAAAAAAGCACTACATATTTAGAAACAACTTCGATTGCCTTGCTTAAGCTATTTTTATTGAGCATTTGCTCTGAATCAGGGCTTAAAAGAAATGGTGTAGGATTACTTGTGTACATGGAAATGAGACTATACTATACATAACAAAGGGACTAGAAGGTCCTGAAATATTTCCTGCCCCCCCCCCCAAAAAAAACAATAAGCTTTACATAATAGCCATTTCTGCTATCGCTTCTTATGATATTAATTCTGAAGATGCTTGTATTGACCGAATTATACATATTACACCCGAGATAAAAGCTTTGTTCATCTTGAAGGAAATTGCAGATGCATATGAACTTATAAGAACACACAATAAAACATTAATAATAATAAAAACATTTGTTTGACCAACCCTGATCATAAGTGTCTCTGTTCAAGAATTTCGGAGACACGAAATACGAGAGACGGTTTATTTAACCCCTTAACGGCAGCTTAACCTCTGTCAGCTCGGACTCGTCAAATGCACACAAAAGAGTGACTTTTTAACCGTAACACTGCCCCTAAGTAAAACTGGTGTTCGTTCTCACAGATCTTTCATAATGTGGAACACTGAGATCGCGACAACGGTAAGCAAACTCAAGTAATCCAGGCTTTAACGTATGCTTTCTTGTTGTTCTTATAATACGTTTGTGCTCACGTAAATTAAACATAATTAACATTGACATACCACTAAAACGTCTTCAATAATAATAATAATTAAATTTTACATATAACCTAAACGTTTATGCGAGCAAGATACATTGTAACATTTACCTCGTGGTTTTATCCGATTGCCTGGGCACAGCTGACCTGAATGAATCAATCGCCTGCGAAATAAAGAGGGCAGCGAAGTTTTACAAAGGGACTGAATAATGATCGGACCTCGAGGGTAACACAATTCTGCCAAGCGTGCTTGTTACGCAAGAGACATTCCTTTCAATAGATTATGATTATTAAATTGCCCACAAGTGCGTCTTTGGTAATCTTTTCTGCTCGGCTTTTATTCACAGATTTTAAACTATTGTTTTGCATTTCTATGTTAGACTCGAAGTTAAGGTTTACTGCGTCGATACTGTTTTTATGTCGTCCTTGAATGATTTGTAGTCCAGCAGATGTAACTTGTAACGTGAATTATAATGTGAGTTGCAGTTATATTTAATCGAATAATCCTATAATTGCACAAATTAGTTGAGGAATCAATAGAATATTACGATTATGTAATCATACAGTATAAAGGGGTGTTATTGGGATGCTATCTGTATTTGTAAAAATACTACATATTTTAAACCATAGGCCTATATAAATTCATCAAATTCATCACCATCCTACTCAAATAATAAAATGTAAATAAAATTATTAATATGCCTATTGTTTTATAGTTTTATAACGTGATTTTTATTAAAAACTAAATAAAACAATTTAGCTAAAGAGAAAATATACATTATAATAAAATTCTTTAATTCAGGAGTGGAATGTGATTAGCGCTGTTGCCTCACCCCTCTGGAAACGGGGTCCAAGTGTCCGAAGTGGCTCCATTGTGGAGTTTGCAGTTTGCATGTCCTCCGCGTTTCGTCGTGGGATTTCCACTGGGTACTCCGGTTTTCCCCCACAGTTTAAAAAAAGAAAAGAAAACCATATTGAGAATATTTAAATTTACTAACTTGCCCGTAGGTATGAATGGTTTGTAGATCGTGCGATGTGTTGGTGCCGCATCCAAGGTTGTCCCCTGTCTTGCGTCCGTAATTTCCGGGATAGACCCCGGACCCCACGACCCTGCATAGCACTAGCAGGTACAAGAAATACAGTGGTACCTCAGAACTCGAATTTAATCCGTTTAGAACTCCGGATCGAATCCTAAAAAGTTCGAGTTGTGATCGAATTTTCCCCATAAGAAATAATGGAAAACCAATTAATTGGTTCCCGGCCCCAGAAAAATACACCTAAATATGTTTTTTTTTTAGCATTTAAACACAAAATGAACCAGATAAAACAAGAAGAGCATATACTGTACGAAACACATCTAAGCACATTTATCAAAACAGTGATTTTTTTTTTTTACTTTATTGCCCACCTCCCCTCCCCTTCGGAGGACAACTTTATTTTACATTTAATTAAAGAGCAAAGAGTGTGGCCGCTCCGAACTCACCCGTCCTAGTACCGTGAAAAAAACGGGGGTAGGGGGATACAGAAACAACAATCGTAACAATAACAGACATTAAAAGCAAAAAAGAAAACAATGGTATACAGAAATAATAATAATAATAATGTAGGTGGGATGGAGAAAATTAAGTGTAAGGGAATACAGAATACAAACAACCATAAGAAACATAACACTTATTACAAGGCCATCAAACAACAAAAAATATAACAACAACAATATCAATAATAATAATAATAATGTTACAAATAGGTATTATATATATGTAGCATACACACACGTGATCCTACCCATATACATGTATATTTCAATTCCTATATCTATAACATATGCTAAAAAGTAATAATAATGATATTGATCGCTCAACCTCGTATGCGCCCATTCTTGTATGTGCAAGTGTAGGTTTGAACTGATGTGTCATTGGATGCCTTCAGGGGACCGTCAATGAGCCCCACCTGCCTCAACCCACCTCCTCAGCCCTAGTGCCATGTGGTGTCTAATAAGCAAGTAAAAATTGAGGGGTGGTGTCTCAGCACACCTCCCCACTGCCCCTCAAGGCACCTCGTATGATCAGCTGTTTCTGGCTGTTATCATTAGTCCTCTGTATTTTGCCCACGTTTCCCCAGTCCAGTCATTGTATTGTCCATCTGCGTTTTGCCTGCCTTACCTGTAATTAAACCCGTATTCCCCGATACCCTGACGTCTGCGCTTTTATCTCCGTTCCGTCCCGCTCAGCACGACAATATTATTATAATTAAATGTATTAATGGTTATTATTAATATTAAAATTATTAATAAAAAATCTTTATTTTAAAATGTATGTTATTATATAATAATAATTACTGTTACTGTCTATCATTGTCTAAATGTATTTTTACTGTCTAAATACATGTATTCAGCTAGTGTAAACATGCAGGATGCTATCACTGCACATGCGAGGCTTAGACTGAAGGTTACCCAATGTTTCAGCTGAGAGACATGCCGCGTGACTCATTTCCCTGCGCGTACAAGTTATCTTAGGTCGGCGTTCACGGTTTGACTTCTGAGATTCAGATGGAGTTCTAGGTATTTTTTTTTCTCAAACTGGTTGGTTCGACTTTTTCAGAAATTCGAGTTCTAATGAGTTCGAGAACTGAGGTACCACTGTAGATTGATGATTAATTTAAACGAAGCATCGGTCTTGCAATATGCTAAATAAATTTTAACGTCAGGGGATGATCACTTCTGGAAATGTCGTGTTGTTAATATTTTTTTGTTGATGGAATTATGCTGTGTGGTGACCTATATTAAATGTATTAGGCTATACAAATGTAGTAGGCTATACAAATAAAATTTCATTTAGGGTTACAGTTAATGTATATAATTCGTTAAAATACTAACTTAATCTAAAGGATATTTCCTAAGAATTTTCCTGTGTGAATTACACATCCTTTGGATAAATTCTCATAAAGGTTACTACATTTTATTGCCAATTTTAGTCGAATTAACAAAATATAAATCTGCAATTGTGTCTAACACATAGGCATACATAATTAAAATAATTAGGCTAAAGCAAATCTATTTCAGAACAAAAACATAAGACTTAAGATAATCTTCCGCCAAAATGTGAAAATTGAAATAATTGGTTGACATTATTCTTGCTTGAAAAATATTTTTTTGTCATTTGTTCCATTTCTGTTTAAAATGTCCACATTTCATTGGTGGTATTTCACTGTTAGCAGGGTGCTAATAATTTGTTTTTTCCAAGTGAAGCTGTCTTTGTAGCCTAATAAAAGCCATTGTTTTCCAGTCAAATAGAACAGAAGTAATGGTTTATGCAATTAGCCAGTGTTAAGTGGTGAAATGCATTTGGTCAGTATAAAGTCAGGCCTTTTGCCTTGAAAAGTATAATGGGTATATTGAGATATATGTGATGTGAAACCTATGAGGATAAAACCAGAGTAAGTTACTCTATCATTTAACTCCCGTTTCCACCTTCGGCTCATCCGACTGATCTTGTAGCTCCATTCGTCGTCTCTTATTACACAACTTCCCTGCTCTTTCGCTTCTGGGTCGAAGAACGTCTTTTTTTTTTCATTACTGTAACCTATTTCGTCGGTCAGGTTGATATTGTTTTCTTCCCCATTTCTGTGAGAAATGTGGCTGCGTCCTAAGCGCTTCTGGGTTAGCATGTTTATCATGCTGGTGTCGCCTTCCATGTCCCTTCAATTGTCTATAAATACGTGAAAAGGGAAAACAGCCAAATCATTAATGCTTATTAAACCACATGACTGACTGTAACCTATGTGTCCCTGGCTTAGGGCCGTGGCCAGGGGCGGAGGGGGGCATGTCCCGGCCCCTGAACTGAGGTGCCTTTCCCGAAAGCTTCCTAACTCTAAGTAGTTCGTTATTTAGCACTTAACATCAATCCTTAATTAGCAAATGTTTCCCGAATCCCTTTGTAACTTTAAGTAGGCCAGTTCGTATTCTTGCTCCTAAATTTACCAGTGCTCCGACCCGCTTGTTATTTCTACGCCGTTCTTTATTTGAACTTTTGCATGTTGTCCTTTCAGAGAGATACAGGCATCAGAATTTACATTAAACAAAACCAGAAACCTAACAAACCCAGGCTTAACAACACCAGGGAAGACTAGGAACACAAGGCTATGCAGAACAGAATCAAACCAGGCACAACAAGGTAAACCAAAAGTGGGGACAAAAGGCAAAGACAAAGAAACAGTACCAAACACAGCGGCGGTCCAGGTAACAGTAAACACACTAGGGGCTTAGGTACACTGCGGCTGAAGGCGTGGGCATCGCCGCTATTAAATCTTTTCATAATCATTCATCTGGACCCCCCCACATTAAACATTAAATATTAGTTCACCCAGGGCTGTTCCTATTGCTTCACGAAAGAATCCATTCAACTTGATCGATATGAGAATACACATACGGCATCTAATTCATTAAAAAATTTCTGGGGGAGGGTCCCCAGACACCCCGCTATTGTGTCCCCCCCCCCCACATTCAAAATGCTTCTGATGCCCCTGGCTGAAGGGCAGGGAGGGCCAGTACAGACCCTGACTCGAACCCCAGCCAGACGTGCCCAATTCTGCCTGTGCAGCCAGTAGGATGAGATTTAATATTTGAAAATGAATTACACAGCATGTTACATAACATAAACAGCATATCCTGAATCCCACGACCCTGCGATCATGAAAATTTACCATAGCAAAAATTACCAGTTGGCCATGCCCCCCCCCCCCCCCTTCCGGGCACCTGACTGAAAAATCTGAGCATCTCAGTGATAAATATGTAAATATGTATCCTACACTCATGCAAATGTGAAATTTACTTCACTCACTAGTACATATATAAGGTCAATATTGTTACACCAGAAAATATTTGGGAGAGACTCACGGGCAGAACAAGCCGGGACAGCCAGGAGCAGAATCAGCCGGGACAGCCAGGAGCAGAATCAGCCGGGACAGCCAGGAGCAGAATCAGCCGGGACAGCCAGGGACAGAATCAGCCGGGACATCCAGGAGCAGAATCAACCGGGACAGCCAGGAACAGAATCAACCAGGACAGCAAGAAACAGAATCAGCCGGGACATCCAGGAGCAGAATCAGCCGGGACAGCCAGGAGCAGAATCAGCCGGGACAGCCAGGAACAGAATCAGCCAGGACAGTCAGGAACAGAATCAGCCGGGACAGCCAGGA